ACACACACACACACACACACACACACACACACACAATAGATATATATTATCGTTCCAGATTGGGCACAACCCGCTCTCCGCACAAGGCGCCCTGTTGTTACTGAAGGCTGTCAAGGACGACCGTAGCGTATTGGAAACGCTCGATCTGTCCGTACGTATTGACGATATCAGGAGTAGATAATAGAAGAGTCTTCTATTAATAGTCTTCTATTATCTACTCCTGATAGAAGACCTGTCATACTCCTCTTCTATTATCTACTCCTGACGATATGTATGACGATATAACCAAAATGTAGTTAATATATATAAATAACGAACTTTTATATTCTGTCAATAAGTCTTGAAACATCACGGTAAGAAGTTTTTTGACTTTCGTTAATTCCATAAATATGTCCTATATTATATCAGGAGTCTATCAATAGATCAATCATCAATATTGATAGACTCCTGATTATATTAGCCCATATATATTTACTTCCTACCAGGATGTGCGCGTGGACAAGGAGTTCAAGGCGCTGCAGGAAGAAATAACAGAGAAGAGAAACCTTACAATAAAACACGGCGGTGTTCTTGGGGACTATGTTATAAAGGGCCCTCCAAAGAAGGGTAACTATCAATACATCCTCGTGATTCCGGTTACGTATCCTCACTATTACAATTACGCAGATATAGAGCAGAAAACTATAGATTTATATCGTCGGTCCCGCACACGTCAACGTTGGGTCAACTGAATACACATGCATACGTTCGTTGATTGATTATAATATGTAACCGTTAATCATTAAATTAAATTCATTAATTTTTAAATTAAATTAAATAAATCAAACATTAATATAGTTATTATAACCGCAAACAATAGACGGCGGGTGTGATTTCGTGGATTTTAGATGGAATTAAGGTCCTCACTATATGGTTGGATGGTCTGGAGCTGAATGCTAGCGACATCATCGCACATCTTGCCCAGCAGACTACAGAGCCAAACGACGGGGGCATCGAAGTTACCACAGCTATGACTGTCATTAAGGTGACACACAAAGCCGCGCCTGCTTGCGTGTTGCTAGGCTTAGATACAAATATCCGGATATTTTTTTAGATATTT